ATGCATGTAAAGTCTCTGAGCCATGTGCGTGGTTTTACATGGTACGTGGGAGCACAGAGACAAACCTTCGTAATTGTAGCGTCATTCAACAGTTTGTTGGGGTGTAGTTTCGGGAGACATTCAGTAATCCGGAAGAGGAAACGTGCCTTTTCCATTAATCAACCGGAAGCCAAGTTACTCGGTGACTGCCTTTCGCTACGCGTTCCTCGATCATTGGCAAATCCATGCACGTATCGCTTAAATTCCAATGGAACGTCCCTGCCATGTGGTTAGCACTCCTGCTTCACATTCCGGAAGTCCCGGAGTTATGTTTCTACCCTGAGACCAGCTGTCCTGAGATTTTCGTGGTTTCTCTCAGTCCCTTCTGACAGATACGAAGATAGTGCCTTCGACTGAGTTATTATAGCTTCTTTTTAAATCCTTGCCGAATTAATTGTCTTCAATCATCCTGTCATTCTACGCTGCAAAGTCTCAGCTGCTGATAGCGTTGTTAGAGACGAATAAAATTATTGATTAACCGGGATTCCGTCGCACGCGCGGTCTTGTGTCGTGCGTACATCGGCGTCGTAGGTTCAACTCCTGCTTCGTCTTTGAAGCAGTTCTGGAACTGGTTCTCAAGCCGGGAATACGTATTTTCAAATTCGAAGACCGCCGAGCTCAGTACGACAACCTACCGGTGTTTCGCAGTTCAAGGAAGGCAGGCAGGCAGTTACTGGTAAGACTTTATAGCCTATACATTGTTATCGATCCATCACCCCACGTTTAACGTTTAATTGGGAGCCAGCCGTGGTCACACTTGATGATTTTGGTGAGTGGTGATTCAGTTAGGTGATCAGGGCAAACTCGTGGGTGAGGTTGATGTGGCCAAGTGGTCTGTTTTATCGGTAGGAGACTTACTTATCCTTAAGGCTGCTCTCGAAACGTTTTGGGTTGGCCCTAGCGCGATGTTGGGATAGTAATTGTAGGACAGAAGTTGCTGATGTGGTAGTGAGGAATGTCTGTGTGTCTCTGAAATGATAAACCCGAAGTCTTTAGTGAGTTGCTTAGTGGCACTTAGAATGTGGTGAGATTGTCACTGTAGAATGAGAATTACCATTGCAATATTAACTTGACACAAATACCAAAAATTATTACATAATCATACTTTTTCCATGTTTAATGATTGAATGTGCCACGGTGGTCTAGCGGTTAGAACGCTGGCCTTGTAATCCTGGGGTCTCGGGTTCGATTCCCGGCGGTGCCCGAATTTATAACTTGTGTTGGGCGAGGCCGTGGTCTAGGCA